TAGTAACAAGAAGCTCACAGGTTGGAGGCCATTACTACTAGTAACAAAAAGCTACTAGAAGTGATGCATGTTCGTTTCTTTCAGAAGACAAGGTGAAGGAGCAGAGCTTCTGGATTTGGTCGCTGGTGTTGAATGGCCAGCGTGCTTTCCGCAGGCAAGTTTGCTAGATATTCTGGAATTGGCGTATTGGGGTGAACATGGAGCAGCCTCTCCTTTTTTTAAATTCTATTTTTTTCTCTCTCTCTCTCTCTCGATTTATGTATTTACAGTCTATCTATCGGTGTTCGTTTCAGCCTTCGTTTCAGCCTTTGAAGGATGACACTTCTGGTGCGGACCATGATTGCACTCTCTCCGGCCTGACTGAGAAGACCAGACAAGACGAGAACGTAACCATCTCTGATGGATTTATAGACAGGTGAATGAAACATCATCCAATCCAAGAAAGTATTATATACGTGTATGAAAAACCAGCACATCCCAGAACTTTCTAGTATTGTTTCTCCAGACTCTTGTCCTCTATTTCATTTCAATTGGCGAGTGATTTCATAAAGTGGTTGCTGCCACTTCGTGCTGCCAGTTTTCAAGAACTTGACCCAAACAAGAGCCTTGGCCAGGGCAGACCTACTAAGGCAGAACACGAACCCAATGTTGACCAACCGACCCTAGAACTGCTCTGTATCTGGGAGAAGTCTACACCAGTTGTCACAAATGATCACAGGACGACAATAATTGAAGTGTTTCGGACCCAAGGTAGATGTCTGGTCTTCTGGTCTGGGTAAAACCAATAAAGGTATGTATGAGTTCTTGCGGCCAAGCTCAAGAGATTGTTTACGTTTGGTGGATTCTTTGACAGTGATAGATTTTCCGTTCAGCGAGCAGTTGCTCTTTGTTGTTCCCTTTCTTGAACTACTTGATTCACCAGAATAGCTTTGGTTCGCAAAGCACATGTGAAGGCAGGTGCGTAATAATTCTTCTTGCTTGTGGCACACAGGAGAAGCCATGTAATTGCAACGTCGCCTCTGTAAAACTGGGGGTCAATCCCAAACTCTTCCGCTCCAAACATCATCAAACACCCACAGGTGAATACACCAGTCCGCTCCAGACAACTCATTCAGAGATATTGACCCACAGTCCGGGCACACAAAGTTTCATGCCGTTTTATGCTCAGACCAGCTGGATGGAAACATGTGCGTTTCTTGAAGCGTGGGGAAAGGGAAAGGAACTTCAGTCCATTTTGGGGTTGGAGGTGGTTACATGGTCATGGCATTTCAACAAAGTGTCAGTTTGGGTGAGTATGGTTTCAAGAAACCGCCAAGAACCATGGAAGCCATGCTTTTTGGTTCGTTTTTGGGGTCTTCCAGGTGCAGCACAAGCAAGTGGGCAGTGAGAGTCACGGAGCCCCCCGGGTTTCTCGTTTCTCTTCGTGGAACCCACGGCGGGGTGGGGCCCAACTCGTTTTCGGCCGCGCGTCGGCGAACGCAGGGGGCGATGGAGATCGATGACTTGGTGGCGTGTGATGGGACCCCCAGGGAGCCCGAAGACTCTCCAGTGTGGCAGGCAGGCGGAGGCAGGCGGAGGCAGGCGGAGGCAGGCGGAGGCAGG